TTTCTTGAAAGAGTTCAATGACTTTCATACTCACTGATCTTTAGATCATTTTTAGGAAATTAAAATGACCATTAGCTTCATTTATAAATTAAAAAGGCCAGTGAAGCAGAGTAATTTAACTGTCTCAAGGTCAACTCATTTGGTATTAGTAAAGGGAAATGCATGTAGCATAACCTAGTACTCTATCCATCAAACAAAACATTCCAACTATAAAAATGCTGACATCATCTCATAACAAATCAGAGATCCAACTTTTATCTCTACACTTTACTTCAATATCAATACGTTGTAGGTAATAAGATGTGGAATACAATTTTAAAACAAAAAAGTATATGCAGAATTATCTAGCTATTATGCTTCTACATGGATACCTTTGCTTATGAAATGAAAGCTATGAAATCGTTCCCAGAAAATGTGTATATACAGTTTACATATTATTTAAAAAGATTCAGAGCCATGGACCCCTGGGTTAAGAATAATCTAGAATATTCCTTTAAAGAGCCATGGACCCCCGGGTTAAGAATAATCTAGAATATTCCTTTATTTTATGGATAAGAAAAAGATCCAAAGAGATGAACTGAGTGGCCCAATTGAAAGTGGTCTCCTTCCAGTTTTCACCGTTTTTTTATTTTCTGAGGATATATTCTTAATTCCAATTTTACAAGCACGTGAGTTGAAAATTCGGTAGCTACCCACAAGCCACATCATACCCCATCCCGCTCTCACTTTAAAACTAAGAATACAAATGACAAAAATATCTACACATATATACCCATCTTTCTTCTCAGGCTTTGGAGCGGCATTGGGACATCTTTTCCCATTCTTCGTCGATATGTAACTACACTGCTTGAAGGGCGCATTCTTGTCTTCAAGGATATGCTTAATGCAAAACTCCTGTCCCTCCAGACGAGGTTGTGAGCATGGACGATGAGTGAATGAACAAGAGAGAGGCTCCTGAGACCTGGGCACTGGGGTGATCCTACCCCGATTGGTCGGCAAGACGTGGATCCGAATCCTGTTCATACCAAAACCTGCAGAATCACACAAAAGATCAAAACGCCCTTACCCTTCCCCGAAATTCCTTCTTTACAACATCCTGGCCAACTGCGGGTAGTTTCTAAACAACAGACAGAAGTCACGCTTCGTAACTCCCCTCGGCCTAGGTCTCCCCAGGCATGTTAGTGAATTTCCCTCACCTCCACTTCTCCCCCTATGCCCGCCCCCACCCCCACCTCCACCACACTGAAAGAATCTCGAAAGCTCGCACCGTCGCAGCTTGAGCGCAAAGTGCCAGTACCACCAAGAGGCAGCAACGCCGCCGCGCCCCGCCTCCGCCGCCCTGCACACCGCCTTTGTCCCGGCCCGCCTCAGAGCTCAAGGCTGAGCCGAGCCGTCCTCGGCTGCGCGTGCAAGCGCCATCTTGTCCCAAGGCTCCAGGAACCAGAGATTCTCGGTCCTCGGAGCCTACGGGAGGAAAGCGACCCCGATGCTGATCGAGGCAGAGTAGCAGCTCTGAGGGAGCAGAAAGGGCGAAGCAGCAGCGTAACTGCAAAGACGAAGAGCAAACACAGACGCCATCTTACCTCTGCGGCCCCGCCGCGCCACGCCGCATGCCCTCTGGCCGCGTCAGCTGCTTTTAGCTCGGCCCCGCTCCTTTCCGGGCTGCCAACCACTGATTGGCTACCGCGCCTAAGGCACTGTGCCACCATTGGCCGAGGCCAGCTACCCATATCGTGCATGGGAGGGCGGGGCTCTGAAAAACTGAGGCTAGGTGAGACCTCCTCCTCAGCAATTCCGCCACGCCGAGAGTGAGGCGTAGCGAGCGCAGGCTGCAGGTTTCGTTCGCGGGATGCGGTTGTATTTCCAAATTCAACGTGGCTGATTCTCAGGCAGTTTCTGGGCGCCCTGTCTGTGGTGGTATGCTGCTACTACCTAACCAGCCTACACAACCGGTAAAAAATCAGACATTTGATTATTATTGTTTATACAGGATAAGGCCTTAGTTTTCTTTTGTGTTCATTTACTGCAACATTTTCTGAGTATTAAATTCTGGGAAATTACATATGTAAAGATTTAATTTCCAGAGCAACCCTAAGATGTAGAGGCTGTTTTTTCCATTTTAAGATAACTGAGAAACAGAATGGACCTATATCTAGTGAATAGGTTTAAAGTGGACCTGAGAGTGTTTGTAAATAGAGGCTGAGAAAGACGAACTCTTAAAGGAAAATAATTTTTTAAAATTTGGAATGAGAGGGGACGCTAATCCTAGAGAAGTGTGCGTGTATGGGAGGTAGGGGGCTTGGTATTGAGAATAAATGCCAAACTCCTGATCTTTCTGTAGACATTCTCATCTCAGTATATGACAACTCCATCCTTCCAGTTGGGCAGGCCAAACATTGGGAGTCATCCTTGACTTCTTTTTCTTCCTACCTTATAGCAGATCCTATTGGCTCCAACTTCAAGATATGTAACTCCCCATTACCTTCTTACAACCTGGTCCAAGCCACTCTTATCTCTTACCTACCTTAATTATTGTGAATCTCCTTACTCTTGAGTCCTGCAATCCATTTTCAACACGGAAGCCCAAATAAACATTTTAAAACCTAAGCTAGATCATGTCACTTCTCTGCCCAAAATTTTTTCAGTGGTGCCCATTTCAATTTTATTTACTAGGCCGTACAGTATCTAGACTTTTATTGCCTCTCTAAGCACACATCCTACTACTCCCCTCCTCACTCATTTCCATATTAGCTACACTGGCTTCCTCAGCTATGTTCCTACTTTGCGACCTTTGCACTTGTTTCCTAGAATGATCCTGATAAGATCTTATCCCAACTATTCCGATGGCTTGCTTGCTCACCTCTTTCATGTCTTTGCTGAAATGTAATTTTGAGCCATCTTATTTCCATCAACCCTACTTACCTGCATGCACACGCACACTTACACACAGTCCCTATCCTTCCTTCTCTGCTTTACGTTCTCCCAAGTACTTATTATCTAACCTACTGTTTAACTTGTCTACCCCACAACTACAATGTAAGTTCTCAAGAGAAGGATGCTTGTTTACTGCCATACTCCCATCAGTAGTCAGTACATCATACTGGGTAGGTACTATTTTCTAGTGAAGGAATAAATGAAACAGAGGAGTACCTGAAACTACTTTTCAGAAAAGGTGTATCTCTAGTACAGCAGGTCCTCTATTAACTTCCTTTCATTCAACAGCTTTAACGTTGAGGGAAAAAAAATCTCTTTCTGGCTGGGGCCATAGTGTGGAGTCTGCACATTCTCCCCATGCCTGCGTGGTTTCCTCTGGGACTCGTTTCCTCCCGCATCCTAAAGATGTGCATGGTTAATTAGTTTGTCTAAATTGTCCCAAGCTGACCCAAGCTGAGTGAGTGCGATGGAAGGGTCTTGTCCAGGGTGGGTTAGAAAATCATTCTTTATTAATCTTTCTTAAATGTATATATAACTCACATGTATCTCAATGTTTAATATTACAAGTGTTTTGGGTCCCTATAAGTTTGATTTTTTTTTTACCAGAAATATGCCATAGGAACTTAACCCTTATTTCTATTAATTAGCCTACAGTAAAATTGGTTTCCTTATCTGTCATTTCGCTTCAAGTCAGTTTCCAAGAACCAATCAACAATGTTGTTAGGACTTACTGTATTCAATTTATTTTCACTGATTTTTTATCTCTTCGTTTTGTGTATGTGAAATGAAGTTGAGATTCCACAGTGCAAAAAAGTAGCACAAGTAGGACATGTGACAATCCATAATCCAAATCAATTCAGAAGTAGGCCTCAGAGCTAGAGGTTACAGTAAATATAAGCTTCTAAAGGAATCCACAGAAGTCATAGGAGGGCTTCAAACTTTCTACAGAAAGTTTAATGATAGAGATGACAGAATTTATGATTTAGGCATTGATCATAAGATGAAGCCCAACTTTGTATCAGCTAAACAAACCTTCTAATTGAGGATACAGTTGTGCACAACCTTTATATTGATTTGTAGTCCATCTACTCCCAAGGATAAGTTGATATTAACTCTTAAAGGCAAATCACTAAATTTATAATTTTGTAACATCTATTCTCACATTCTTCATTTACTGCTTTTCTGTTCTTCCATTCAAACCAGAAAAGAATTCCTAAAATGTCAGCGACTTCCACAAAATTTCAGGAAAGGCAGAACAAACAAAAATCTTAAGTTGTTTTATTTTTAAAAAATGGAATGAACAGAACTCAAGTGATTTTTTAGAAATGTTAGAGTTTTTAAACTATAGCTAATGCTAACTTTGTGTTATAATTTTGGAATACTTTTCATTTTTTAAAATTTTATTAAATTTTAAATTTATTAAATTTATTGGGCAACATTAATAAAATTATATAGGTTTCAAGTGTAGAATTTTATATACATCATCTTTATATTGCATTGTATGTTTACTACCCAAAGTCAAATAGCTTTCCATAACCATATATTTGATGAAGTATTTTAGCATAAAAATTCTTTCTTTTTAAATGTGTAATTTATAAGATTTACCTTGTATGTATGGTTTTATTATGTCCCAGGAAAAAGAGTATTCACTATCAATTTTTCCAGGCACCACCAAGAATGCTATTCATTTTTTTCCTTCCAAATGCACTCCTAGTCTATACCAATATTTCAATTTCTCAAAGAAACCAAGTATACAATTATGAATGTTTGACAGTGTTACTATCATCTATTAAGAGCTATGTATTTTTTGTGTACCAGTTACTCTTCCAGGTATCCACACGATTCTGAATGAGGGTCCCCCCCCATTACATCATACTTTACACTATCAATTTCACTGTGATGACCAAATCTTAGGTCTTTCTGATGGACTCAATTCCCACAGGATCTTGTGTAGTAAGAAAGTACATACTACGACCAAAACTAAAACAAAACTATAATCATATCAATAAAATGACAAGTAAAAACTAATTTGAAGACTCGGTACACATAAACAGCAATCAGATGAATGTTTTATAATTGACATTTATTGATGGGATGGATAAATACAGATTGAGAAACATACTTGACAGCAAGATATCAAACTGATAGCCAGACTATAAAATGTATACATCTTTTTAAAAATTTTTTTAAAAATTTAATTTTTTTTACAAAGAGCCCTTACTGTAATGGTCATTTACATCCTATCATTCACATAACAGCAGTAGAGATACTAGGGGCAGCATCCAGAACTGAGATGCCCCAAGGAGGACAGAGGCAACAGCAGAATAATATGCTGAGAAAGGACTCTTAAGAGCAATACAAAGAAAATGGACAAAAAATATCACCACAAAATTGTACCTGAGTGACATAGATTGGTAAAGTGTTTTTTTTGTTGTTGTTGTTCTTTGCTCTTTGGTCTGATAAGAAAACGGACAATTTTAGGGGAAAGGTCAGTTTCAAATCCAGAAACCTAGGTTAACACTAAGTTAGGCTGCTGCATTCTTCTCTTTGGGTGCTTAACCCAGCCATCACCTCCATCTTCTAATCAATTCCAGTGTTATCAGCCACGAATCAGTCAGGTCTTCAGCTTTAAAATGAAGACTTCCTGATAACCTGGAGACACACTTGCTCTGGCTTCAATTAGCATGCTGTCAAGCATCCCTCTCCACACTTAACATGGCAACAGAAAACCCAAGGGTCTTTCTGTTCTTTTCATTCAACCATGAATACACACTCATAAAGGGGAAGAGTAGACACTGCTTTTTAGTAAACATTTTCTTTCCCTCCCTTTTCCAATGCCAAGTTCATATGAAAAACCAGAAATATTAAAATGGGTCTCCGACTAAAAAATAATTATTATTCTAGACCATTGTATTAGATAGGATTACAGTACCATACTTGTTTCAAACCCACATCCGCAGAGAGATAAAAGACAAAACTTGATAATGTGATACCACATGAACATTTCTTAAACCATCAGGAGCGAATACTCATTAAAAGCTGGGTGTTAACAAGCAGCAACATGAGAAATTTGGGGGAGGTATCAAAGTCACTAAAAGCTTAGGGAGACTGTGGAGGGCTTATTTCTCACCATGTGAAAGGTTGCATAGACTGCTTAAATTCTCCCAAACCCAAGAGAATATTTGTATTCCAACTTCAAGCTGTTCTAGAATCTCTTTTCCTAGCATATTAAGTAACTAATAAAAAAAGAATAATCCTTTTTAAAAAGTAATCATTTCCCAAGTTCCCACAGTTCCTATGTTTCTGTGGGCAACACAGATGTTTAAAATTCAACCAGGCTGGGATAAGACCCCTCTGATTGCCTTTGACCAGAAGCAAGGTATGAGGCGTATGCATTTTCAATATGGGGAATTAGGTAGCAGAGGCTTAAGGAAATCCCGCACTATTGTTACCATGATTTTATTCCTATATCCTAATCCACTGCTGTTTCTAACTGGAGATTTAAAATTTTTTTATATCAACACTAGTGAAGCCAATAATACAGAACTATGAAAAAGGATGCAGTAAATCAAAACACTAAAATCATTTTTTTTTTTTTGGGAAAAAAAAGCAAGCTGAGGATCTCAGGTATGGAAACACACTGATTCCTAAGTGAGAAGACTAAACTAATTCCATGTATTTTCTAAACCCAAAAAGCATAACTGATACTGCAGAAGACCAATTTAGCTTTAGATTAATGCTTCACTAGAGTTCAGATAAGAGCAACACGGGTGTCTGATTAAAAACCCTAAAGACAATCCACAGGTATTTGTTTTTGTGAACATGAGATTCAAACAAAGTTTAGGAATTAGTTTTACCGAACTTGAGGCTCCAGGCCTGCTTACTACCATTTATCCTTGATAGTCTAGGTTAAAAGGAGGGGAAAAAGCCATGTTTACTAGATGAACTTTGGGTATATAAACCCCATTTCTCACTCTTTGAAAGTGAGAGTAGAGAAGACACAGTTTAGAAACCACACAACCCTTTGAAGCCTAAGTTTATGGGAATTTGGACAATATGCATGCTACTGACAGGCACATCTGCTAACCCAAAGACAATGCAGCAGCTTTCATGCAGAGACCATGAGTTCATGAAGTATGCACAGATCTAAAAGCAGACACTGCAGATACCTTAAAACAGTATCAAGAAGCCTTAATATAGAAAAGTCTTTAAACTGATCTATACTAGAATGATCTTCTAGTATACAGGCAGACTACACAGTATAAAGCAGGTCTTAGGCTCTAGGCTCTAGTAAGCACTTTTTTCTAAGTTCACTCCTGACAGAGTTCTAAGGAACTAACTACAGACTATCATGGAGAACTGCTAATTAGGCCAAGTGGATATGTATGTCTCTGTGGTGAGGGAGTGCATGTGATTAGAAAATGTGACTTCTGATGAGAAAAATTAAAAGCTGGAAGACATTTTCATAATCAAATCAGTGATCATCAATTCTACAAAGATACAGATGCAAACTAAAGGTCAAGAAGGAGAGCAGACTTCACCAAACAAAATCTAAACAGAAAGGCTATATTTAGTAAAGACACCACACAACTACCAATTATCTAGCACAACACAAACTATCAAGAAGAGGAAAATGTCATCTATAAAAGTGAAATGACATTCCAAGTCAAAAATAACACTAGTTTATAGGCTGGCAGAGAGCTCATTTTACACAGCAATGACAGGCACTCCAGACAGTTCAAATATGCAAAGATGCTAGACACTAATTCACTTTCAGTTAAGGTTTATTGTACAGATTCTTTCCTATATTAGGCCAGTGCATCATCAATTCCAACTGCTTCAGTGTTCTCTCCAATTTGTTGATGGCAAGCAGCAGCAAATGTATAACTCCTGTCTCCCTATGACTTCCAATGAAAAAAATTTCAATTTGTCCGTAAAAATATTTACTGTGAAGGAAGCTACATTAAAAACAAGACAAATTCAAACTGCATCATTTTTTCCATAGCAAAAAATGCCATGAAGACCAAACAATATCACATCAAATGATCCATGGCTAGGTGGCATTTTCAGTTAGACAACTTGGCTTAGAATTTTTCTAGCTCCTTAAAAGATTCCTTTCCTCAACTAAAATGTTAACTCCTAAAATATGGGATAATCAAGTACCCTAACAGGATACCTGATCCATTTTTTTTAAAAGGATCCTTAGAAATCTCCTGAAGAACCTTCTGCCTAGAGTCTAAAGCCACCAAAAATGGACACTCAACAATATCTGTAGGCTAGGTTTGCTAACCCTAATGGCACAAGTACTGTTAAATCCACAAGCTCCAATCTCTGAAGCTATATAGGCTGCAAAAATTAAGGATGCAGCTGTTTCTCTTCAGATATACAGATAAAAAGCAAGTCTCACATTTATAATATAACTTAAAATACAATGTCCTAAAAATCCCCAATCACAATTTCATTGTTTTCAGGATCCTCTAGCTCAATGGCTTCTCCCAGAACTATTCTGAGACATGGTCTGGACTTTCACAGGCAGAGACCTTGAGACTGCTCTCACTTGAACACTTTCCCAAAGCCCAACCTGAAAAGAAGACACACCTAATTCTGTAGGGCAGAAGCCAGCCTTGCTCTCTAACCCTTTTTCCTCAACCCCACCTTTGTTCTACATCAAAAGGGAAAAAGGGGTAAAAAAGGAAGTGTTTATAATAGAGTCCAGAGTCAGGCCATTGGCTGCACTTGCCCAAACTAGAATTTAGAAGGCTACCACTCAATTACAACATAAAGAAAGGGAGAAATACCATGTTGAATGCATGCCTCTTCCTTCATGTTCTAAAGGCCACACCGTGTTCTCTCTAGTAGACTGTTGGGAAGTGAAAATGGTGAGGGACAGGGAGGGAAAGATAAAACATGATTTTTAAACACACGCACTTAAAAACATACATACCCACACTTACATACACACTTAAAGGTCTCAATACTTCAAGTGGCCAGAGTCTATCTCAGAACTCATGGCCAAAAGCCTACCCTCCCATCCCTTCTACATATCCCCCACCCTCCAATCCCACCCCCCAGGACTCACTGCTATGTATCTCATACACACAGCAAAATCCCTATCCCCTCCCCAATTATATAAAAAAAACTAAACAGATAACTTACTTTCTTTAAATTATTTTTAAGTCTCTTAAAAATTTTTGACGTTTAAATACTTCCTCTCTTCTGATATATTAAACACCAAAAGGATCCACAACTGTTTGATAAAAACAAACCCTCCATATTTCAGTCCTGGCAAGAAGAGGGAAGATATCAACTCTAATCGACCTAATTAGGAGGTGGAGAGGCCAAGAATAGAGAAAGTATTCTTAATCTTTCACAGCTTCAATATTCTCATGTCTCTAATACCAATAAAAACTATAATAAAATAGTTACATTTTTGAGGCAGCAGATATAGTAACCAAGGCCCTCTACCATCTTCCCGCTTATGTCTCAATATTAATTTTTTCCCTAGTCCAAGAAGGGAGACATATTTCATTAGGGAAGTAATTTTCTTAGTCCAGAATCAGTAGTTAAAAAAAAAAAAAAAAAAAGCATGTGTTTTTAAAGAAGTTTTTTCTCCTCTTCTTTTTCTTTTTTACTTAGGAAGGGGTGGAAGCGGTGGAGGAGGTTCTGAAGGTAGAGGTGGTAGCCGGGGTTTGTCTGTGTTGCCAGATCTGGAGGACATTCCACCAGCTCGTGGATTCATATATTCACCATAAGAATGAACAAATTCAAATGCAGGGGGTGGAGTGGGCTGAACACCCTGGGCACTGAGAAGGGAATGAAGCATATTCACAGTATCTTGATAGTCTATTGTCTGGGCTGTGTTGTGACCATTGGCCCCAGTGGGGCCTTTTTCCAGTTTCATATGAGGAACTCGAGTTTTACAGCTGGGCTGTGAAAAATGAAGGCCACTTGTGTCTGAGCTATGTCCAGGCAACTGGGCCATTGTTGGATGAGGAGGGAAGGAGAAATTTATGGAAGAGGACTTGGTACTCTTGGCAATCTTGGCTGGATGATCAAACACTGCCCCTCCAGTATCTTCAGGGGGACCCCTCTTACGAGTAGAACTGGAAGAAGAGAACGAACTAGACGAGCTATAGGTTTTGTGCGCTAAAGTGCTTGTCTGGCTACTATGTTTCGGATCACCTGGCCGTTTGTTCCCAGTACCAGCTGGAAGCTGTGAGTGAGAATGCTTGTGTGAGTGGTGATTATGATGATGATGATGGTTAGATGGGTAAGTCTTATGCTTTTCTTTGTGCTCTCTGTTCTTTGTGATACTGTCATCTACAGAATTGTGCTTGTCAGCTGCAGCATGGACTTTAATACGCATTTTTATCTCCTCTGGTTTTGAAGAGGCAGCTTTATCTCCACTTGCCACTGGAATTCTCATTTTGAGAGCTGTTTTGTCAGGCTTTTCCAGAAAAGGCCGCTCAGGATTTTCTGAGCCCTCTATGGGCATTTTCAGAATGACGGAAGAATGGCCATCATGTTGAGATAAGAGATTCTGAGCAGCATATGCATACTGTGACTTCACATTGGCCTCCATGTTCTCCAGTTGCCTCTTCTGGGCAGCCAACTCTTCTGCATGCTTTGCACGGTATTCTTTCAGTGACACTTTAGCTGATGGCACACTCTTACTAGTCTGCTTCTGAGAAATAAATGCATTTGAACCATCCTGTTGCAAGGAATGATCAACTCCTATAAGTGCTACATTCTCACTAGTCCGATGACCCTGAGAAGATTCTAGTTTAAAAGGAGGTTGGGAGGACAGCCAGCGCTCGCCCTGCAACATCTCCACACTGCTTAAGTTGTTAGATGACTCTTCAGTGGATGGACGAGAAGGCACTGCACTTGTGGTAGAAGAAGTTGACATGCTCATTAAACCTGCAATAGTTGTATCTGAAGAGCTCTGGGAAATCATATTGAGGATCGTCTGCTCCGAAGTGTTAGTATCTGCCCCCCGGTCATCTGCTTTTGTTTTCTTGGCAGCCTGGTATGCCTAGAATGAAGCAAATGATATCTCTTCACTTCAGGTAATATCGAATAGAAAAAAACAATAAAATGAGTAGACTGTGCTTGCTGTGACTGCACACCGGATAGCCCAAAAGCATGCAGCTACTCTAACATAAGATTGATAATTATTACCATTAGGAGACAGAAGATTTTAAAAACCTTCAATGAAGAGTCACACAAACAGGATCTCAAGGAGATATCTGCACTCCCATGTTCACTGCAGCATTATTCACAATAGACAAGATATGAAAGCAACCCAAGTGTCCATCTATCAATGAATGGATAAAGAAAATGTGGTATATACATACAATGAAATATTATTTAGCCTTAAAAAAAGAGAAGGATTCTGGGAAGGTGGCAGAGTAGGAAGCAACAGGAATCTATTTCTCCACCTTAACAACAATTGCACTGGCAGAATCTATTTTAGAACTCGACTCTATTGAAGGCTTGCAACTTCCAGGGTAAGACTTGGACAGTAAATTAGGGTTAATTTCCATCAATTTCAGTTCTCAGCACAGTAGAAACTACCAGCGCTTACCCCTAGCCACATAGCAGGCAGTTGTGCACCCATTTCTGGAGAAGTTTGCACACACTTTGAGGAAGCCAGGGTGAGCAAAAAGGACTCTATCTCCAAATATTGGGGATCTGAGCTATGATTGCTGATTGTTGCTTTTGGTCACAGAGGTACATACCAAAAGGCAGGCAGCCACTGTTGCACCTTTTCTATTGTTGCAAGCCCCTCCCTCTTTGGCTGAAGCAACTTCTAGGGGATTTAAAAGGCCAACACTCTCCCTCCTCTCATTTTTTTGCTTTTTCCCCTTTGGGGAGGCCAGACCTTAAGACTTTCAAAAACAATTCTATATACAGGGAAAGTTAGAATGCATGTCCAGGGAAAGGTTCAGAAAAGACCTTAGGTTTACACCTCAGGCTGATCCTCAGCATAGAGATGCCCTACAAAATCCTCCCCTAAGCCCCCCCAAAATGAACAAAACAATAAGAAAAAATAGCAAACTATGGGGGAGGGAGAAAATCTGATTTCCAAAGTTACTACACTATTAGATTCAAACGTCCAGTGTTCAACAACAACAACAAAACAATCACAAGGCATATAATAATACTTATTAGTTCTAAAAGCCCATTAGTTCTAATGGCCCATTCAAAGGAAAAAAATTACATCAACAGAAACTGTCCTTAAAAAATACCTGATGGCAGATCTACTACACAAAGACTTTAACTCCCTTAAAGATTCTCAAAAAAGTAAAGATGTAGAGAAAATCAAGAAAACAGTGTGAACAAAATGGAAATATTAATAAAGAGGTAGAAACCCTAGAAAGAAACCAAAAATAAACCCTGAAGCTGAAAAGTACAATAATTGAAATGAAAAATACACTAGTTATTGAAAGGTAGATCTGAATCAGCAAACTTCAAGATGGAACAATGCAAATTATCGAGTCTAAGGAACAGAAAGAAAAAAGACTGAAGCAAGTGAACAGAGCCTAAGGACCTGTGATAGACCATTAAGTAGACCAACATATACATCATGGGATTTTCAGAAGTAGGAAAGAGAAAGGGGCACGAAGAATATCTGAAGGAATAGTGGTTGAAAACTTCCAAAATTTGATGAAAGGCATAAACATAAACATTCAAGAAGCTCAATAATCTCTAACTAAGAACTCAAACAAGATTCACACCGAGACACGTTATAATCAAATTTTCAAAAGTTAAAGACAGAATCTTGAAAGCAGCAAGCAAAAAGCAAATTATCACATACAAGATCATGAGATTTAGCATTACATACTTTAGAGGCTAGAAGAGAGGAGGCTGATACATTCCAAGTACTAAAAGAAAGAAAAACTGTCAACCAAAAATCCTATATTCAGCAAAAAATATCTTTCAAAAACCTGAGGTTGAAATTAAGACATTTCCAGATAAAGCTGAGAGAGTTCAAGACTACCAGAACGGCCATGCATGAAACGCTCAAAGGAGTCCTCCAAGGTGGAATGAAAGGATATTGGACAGTATTGAAGCCATATGGAGAAAAAATCTCAATAAAGGTAAAAATATAGGCAATTATAAAAGCTAATATTATTCTAACAATGGTTTATAACTATGATTCCTGTTTTCTACATGATTTAAGAGACTAACAAATTTTAAGAGGAAAACACAATTATTAGTGTAAAACCCAGTATTACCATGACTTTGGTTTATAACTCCAAATATTATTTTCTATATATTTTAAGAGCCTAATGGATATAAACAATTATTGGTTTATGTTTTGGGGCACACACTGTATAAAAATATAATTTTGTCACATCAACAACCAAAAGGGGTAGGAATGCAGCAATAAAAGAGTTTGTATGTTATTGAAGTTAAACTGGTATACATTCAAACTAGAGAGTTTTAACTTTAGGATGTTAAAATAATCTCCATAGTAACCACACAAACCTAACTGTAGAATACACAAAAAAGGAAATAAAAGAATTTTTAAATTTCACTATAAAAAATCAACTAAACACAAGACAGTCATGCAGAAAATGAAGACCAAAAAAGCTATAAGGCATAAAAAACAACAGATTAATGACAGAAGTCCCTCCTTATCTATAATTAAGGGTAACCGGATTAAATGCTTAAAGACAGAGATTAGGAAAATAGATAAAAACATATGATCCAACTATATGCTGTCTACAAGCACTGAGATCGAAATACCCAAACAGGTTGAAAGTGAAAGGAAGGGAACAGAGATACCATGCAAACAGTAACTAAAAGAGAGTAGGTGGCTATACTCTATCAGATGAAATAGACTTTAAATCAAAAAAGGTTTCAAAAGACAAAGGACATTCTATAATTGTTTAAAGGATCGATACAGCAAAAAGATCTAACAATTATTAACATTTACATACCTAATGACAGGCCATCAAAATATATGAAGCAAAAACTGACAAAATTGAAGGGAGAAATAGTTTTGCAGTAATAGTTGGAGACTTCAATAACCCACTCACGGTAATGGATAGAAAACCAGTCAGAAGATAGGGAATAGAGGACTTAACAAAGAAACCACCTAGATCTCACAGACATACAGAACACTCTAACCAAAACAGCAGCATACACATTCTTCTCAAGTGTATTTGGAAGAATTTCCAGCATAGACCATAAGTTAAGCCACAAACTAAGTCTCAATAGATTTTAAAACATAGATATTAAGCCGGACAGAAAAAGTTGAAAACCACATGATGTCACTTATATGTGGGATATAAACCTAAAAGCAATAAATGAACAAGACAAACAGAGACTCATGGACATGGACAACAGACTAGTGGTTAGACTAAGTGGGAGTTGAGAATTGTTACTACTATAGTTACAAATAGTGAAAGTATTATTCCTTCTAGGCATATACCAAAGGGTAGATGGGATAAAAGGGGTCAAATATGTAGTGACATAGAGAAATCTTTCTTTCTGAACACAGAAAGAACACACAATGTAATATATATATGCCTAACTGTTAAATTGTACACCTGAAATTTACAGGATTTCATTAACCAATATCACCAAAAAATAATAATAATAAATTTTAAAAATAAAATAAATAAAACATAGATATCATACAAAGTATCTTTTCTGACCACAATGAGATAAACTCAGAAATCGATAACAAGAAAAATTGACAAAATCATAGAAATCAAGCAACACACTTTTAAACCAACAGATTAAAGGAGAAATCAAAAGGGAAATTAGAAAATATCTAGAAACAAATGAAAATGAAAACACAACATATCAAAACTTATGGGATGCAGCAAAAGTAGTGCTAAGGGAGAAATTTATAGCTATAAATACATTTAAAAAAGAAATGATACCAAAACCCAAGACACTACAAAAAAAATTACAGATTAATATCCCTGATGAACAAAGATACAAATATTCTCAACAAAATATTAGCAAACCAAATTCAACAACACATTTAAAGGATTATATGCCACAATCAAGTGGGATTTATTCCAAGGATTGCAAGGATTATCAATATCTGCAAATCAATCAATTTAATACACCACATTACCAAAACAAATCACCTGATCATTTCAGTAGAAGCAGAAAAGGCATTTGACAAAATACAACATCCATTTTTATGTTTTCTCAACAAAGTGAGGACAGAGAGAACATATTTCAACATAGTAAAGGCCACAAATGACAAACCCACAGCTAACATCATACTCAACAGTAAAAAGCTACAAGCTTTTCCCCTAAGATCAGGAACAAGACAAGGATGCCCACTCTTACCACTTTAATTCAACACAGTATTAGAAGTCCTTGTCAGAACAACCAGAAAAAAAAAAAAAGGCATCCAAATTGGAAAAGCAAAACTGTCACTATTTACAGATGCCATGATATTGTATATAAAAAATCCTAAAGACTCTTAACAAAAAACTATTAGAATAAATAAATTCAGTAAAGTTACAGGATAACATACAGAAACCAGTGGTATATCATCTATATGCTAACAACAAATTATCAGAAAGAGATATTAAGAATACAATCCCATTTACAACTGTATCAGAAAAAACACCTAGGAATAAATTTAACCAAGGATGCAAAAGACCTGCTGTGCTCTGAAAACTATAAGACACTGATAAAAGAAACTGAAGACAACACAAATAAATGGAAGGATATAACTTTCATGCTCACTGACTGGAAGAATGTTTTTAAAATGTCCACACTACCCAAAGCAATCTACAGATTTAATGCAATCCCTACCAAAATACCAATGGCATTTTTCACAGAACTAAAATAAATAATCCTAAAATTTATGTGGAACCACAAAAGACCCCGAATTAACCAAAGCAATCTTGAGAAAGAACAACAAAGCTGTGAGTTACCACAATTCCTGATTTCAAAGTATACTACGAAGTTGTATAATCAAAGTTGTATGGTACCAGCACAAAAATAGACACACAGTTCAATGGAATGGCATAGAAGCCCAGAAATTAATCCACACTCATATGGTTAATTAATCTATGACAAATGAGGCAGGAATATACAACGGAGAAAAGATAGTCTCTTCGCTAAATGATGTTGGGAAAACTGGACAGATATATGCAAAATAAAAATGAAACTAGACCACTTTTCATAACACATACAAAAATAAACTCAAAATGGATTAAAGATTAAATGTAAGACCTAAAACCACAAAACTCCTAGAAGAAAACACAGGCACTAAACTCTTTGACATCAATCTTAGCAATATTTTTTGGAAACTGTCTCTTTAGGTCAGGGCAACAAAAGCAAAAATAAACAAATGGGACTACATCCAACTAAAACACTTTCTGCATACCAAGGAAACCATTAACAAAATGAAAAGACAGCCTACTGAATGGGACAAGATACTTACAAGTGATATATCTGACAAGGGGTTAATATACAAAATATGTAAAGAACTCATACAACTGAACATCAAAAAACACAACATTCTGATTAAAAAAGGTACAGAGCTGCTGAACAGACATTTCTCCAAAGAAGATATACAAATGGCCAAAAGACATAAAAATATGCTCAACATCACTAAGCAGCAGGAAAATGCAAATCAAAACCACAATGAGATACCATCTCATACCTGTTAGAATGGCTATTATCAAAAAGTCAACAAATAACAAGTGTTGGCGAGGATGTGGAAACAGGGAACTCTCCTGCATTGTTGGTGAAAGTGTAAACTGATGCAGTCACTATGAAAAACGATATGGAGGTTCCTCAAAAATTTTTAAATAGAACTACCATATACCATATAACCGAGCAATTCCACTTCTGGGCATTTAGCCAAAGAAAATGAAAACACTAATTAAAAAAGATACATACACTCCTGGGTTCACTGCAGCATTATGTACAATAGCCAAGATATGGAAGCAGCCTGCGTGTCCACCGATAGATGAATGAATTTAAAAAAGCAGTGTGTATATACACAATGGAATATTACTCATCCATAAAAAAAGAATGAAATCTTGCCTATAGCGACAACATGGATGGACCTGAAGGGTATAATGCTAAGTGAAATAATACAAAGACAAATACTGTATAATTTCACTTAAATGTAGAATCTAAAAAAACAAAACAAACAAAACAGAAACACTCACAGACACAGAGAACAAACCGATGGCTGCCAGAGGAGAGGCAGGTAGGGGATGGATGAAAAAGGTAAAAGGGAATAAGAAGTACAAACTTCCAGTTATGAAATAAGTAAGTCATGAGAATGTAATGTACAGCATAGGGAAAATAGTCAATAATAGAGTAACTTTGTACAGTGATGGATGGTTACTATACTTATCATGATGATCATATCATAAAGTATATAAATGTCAAATCACTATGTTGTACACCTGAAATTAATATATTGTATGTCAACTATATTTCTAAAAAATAATTTTAAAAAATATCTCAAAATAACTAACTTTAAAACTTAAGAAACTAGAAGAACAAACTAAACCCAAAGCTAGCCAAAGGAAGGAAATAATAAAGATTAGAGCAGAGATAGATGAAACAGAGAATGGAAAAATAGAGAAAAATTAATTAAACCAAAAGTTGGTTCTTTGAGATCAACAAAATTGACTTTAGGTAGATGGACTAAGAAAAAAAGGGAAGGCTCAAACTACGAAAATCAGAAATAAAAGTGGAGACATTGCTATTCATTCTACAGAAATAAAAAGGTCTGTAAGAAGAGTACTATGAATAACTGTATGAAAGCAAACTGGATAACCTATATGAAATGGACAAATTCCTAGAAATACAAAACATACCAAAACTAAATCATAAAGAAATAGAAAATCTGAATAGACCTATAACTAATCAGGAGAGTGAATAAGCAATCAAATCTCCAAAAAAAAAAAAAAAAAAACCCTTCACTGGTTAATCCTATCAAACATTTAAAGAATACCAATCCTTTTCAAACTTTCCCAAAAACATGAAGGGGAAACTTCACAATTCATTAAGGCCAGCAATACCCTGATACCAAAGCCAGGCAAGAAAACTAAAGACCAATATCTGTTATGACCAATGATGCAAAAATCCTCAAGAAAATACTAGCAAACTGAATTTAACAGCATATTAAAAAGATTATACACCATGAACAAGTGAAATTTATTCCTGGAATGAAGGATGGTTCAGTGTATAAAAACTCAACCCATGTAATATGCCACATAAACAGAATGAAGAAAAAAACACACAGTCATCTCGATTGATATAAAAAAAGTATCTGACAAAATTCAACACACTTGCATGATAAAAACAATCAGTAAATTAGAAATATAAGAAAACTACCTCAACATAATAAAAGCCATTATGAAGAACCCACAGGGAACATCATACTCAATGATGAAAGACTGAAAGCTTTCTCTAAGATCAGGAACAAGGTAAGTGTGCCCATTTTCACTACTTTAATTCAACATAGTACTGGAAGTTTTCGTCAGAGCAATTAGGCAAGAAAAAAAAGGCATCCAAATTTGAAAGAAGTAAAATTATCTGTTTACAGATGATATGACCTGATATGTAGAAAATTCAAAAAGATTCCACACAAAAAAAGAATAAATTAATTCAGCAAACTAGGATACAAAATCAATACAAAATTCAGTTACATTTCTATACACAATAAACAATCTGAAAAGGAAATTATGAATACAGTTCCATTTACAATAGCATCGAAGTCTACGGCCATGCCACCCTGAATGAGCCTGATCCCGTCTGATCTTGGAAGACAAGCAGGGTCAGGCCTGGTTAGTACTTGGATAGGAGACCACCTAGGAAAACCAGGTGCTGTAGGTATAAAAAATAAAAAAATAAAAATAAGGGATTGTAAGCTGACAAGGTCCTTGCAATCTGTGAGGTCAACCAAGGATTGCTTGGCATAAAATAATTGATTAATTAATTAAATTTAAAAAAATACAATAACATCAAAAAATATAAAATACTTAGGAATTAACTTAACCAAGGAGGTGAAACACTTGTACAATGAAAACTGCAAAACACTGCTGAAAGAAATTAAATAATATATGAGTGGAAAGTCATGCCATGTTATGGATTTGAAGACTTCATATTGTTAAAATGTGAATACTGTAGCCATCTACAGATTCAAGGCAATCCATATCAAAATCCCAATGATATTTTTTACAAAAATAGAAAAACCCATCCTAAAATTCATATAGATTTCCAAGGAACTCCAAATAACCAAAACATCTTGAAAATAAAAAACAAAACTGGAAGGCTCACACCTGATTTCAAAACTTACTACACATCTACAGTAATCAAAACAGTGTGATACTGGCATAAAGACAGACATACAGATGAACGACAGAGAGACTCCAGAAATAAATCCTTACCTAAATGGTCAAATGATTTTTGACAAGGGTGCCAAGACCATTAGGAGAGAATAATCTTCAATGAAAGGACAGTCTTCTCAACAAATGGTGCTAGGAACACTGGACATCCACATTCAATACAATGAAGCTGGACCCTTACCTAACGTCATATATAAAAATCCAAGTCTCCTTTGAACCCTAGGCAAATCACTCAACTCAAGAATAAAATTAAGCTTATCAATCTGGATTTTTGAGAAATGCAGGGAACATTTTAAAATAAACTTTCTGACACTGGAAAAAAAGGAAGATTGATTCTATTATTTATAAATAAGACTTTGAAAAATATTTGAAATATAACTTTAGACCTCAATCCATATTTTAAAAAATTCTAAAATCCATTTCAAAAGCAGGTAATGAAAGACAAAATTATGGTATCAGCTCTAACTCTGTAACTCTGTATCTTTATCAGAAGCCAATACTCTGACTCAGAGAAGCCACATTTTTTTCCCTAATAGTCTCAACACAGAAAATACTCAACCAATGTTGCTGACCAAATGACTATCACAAGAGTGGCAAAATACAAAAATCCTGCTGTCACCTACAGCCATTGACTCTGGGCCAGTAACCAAGCTATAAAGCTAAAGACATAATTACTGTGTAACTAAAAAAAGGGAAACTCCTAACCTAGAGTAAATAACCAGTTGTGGTATATTCTTACCTTCCAATTTCGAATTCGTTTGAACCTGTTGGGGGTTTTCTCCAGAATCTGTAGAAACTCATGTGTCAGTTCTATAAATAAAATAGAACATATAAGAAAAACTCAGACAAAAATAATTAAACAAGAATAACCTCAACTATTTTCATCTGAATCAAGTCACCTTTGGCCAGATATGTGACAGATCAAGATCAAGTGCTTTCCAAGGACCCTTACTCTAAAACTTACCATCTAAAAGTTCCAGGGTCACAGTGGCGTCAACATACTCCCACCAGTGCTTCCCATCAGTTGAGACTGGGATCTCCCAGTTGGACCACTTGCAAGCCAGATGAATGCAGACACAGGCCACCACAGGAGGTGTGTACTGCAGGCTAAATGTGGTCAAATGCAGGCTGACATCAGAGGGAAGGAAACAAGAGAGAGTCATGAGCTCTCAATTCTGAACCCAAAGTTAAAACTCTCCATTATTTAAAAAAAAAAAAAAAAAAAAAAAATGAAGAGCACTGCAGAGCAAGAAGGGCAAGAAATATCCAGTGCTCTGATTCAGCACTTAACATGATTTTCCATTAACCCACCTGCTCAGGCAACAATGTTTATAAATTTTCAACTATACATCATTCAGTCCACAAAACTGATGAAGGGCCAAAAAAATAAAATGAATAAAAACAAAACTGGGTACTCGGTTTTTTTAAAATAAAGATCAATTTTTCTGAGTATAAACTCTGAACTTAAGGAAAATTATAAGATATTTGATGTGTATAATCCCTAAATCATATAGTTAAGAATATACCCGAAAAATATCTTGTCTCTTGGCAATCATAGGTCTGGTCTATTTAAAATAATGACTAGACAATCACCCTCTTAAGTGTGAATATGTTTGATTGATGGTTTATTTTTTAAATTTCTCCTATCAGACTTTAAAAATATTTTTCTTAGCCCTGAAAGTTATCAGGAATATCTTTAGTTTCTATGAACAACCAATAGACTGGAGATGAGAATGAGCAAATCACATAGTAATACAAGTTATGTATTAATAAGTTTTTCTTTAAAAAAGAAAGATGAAAGAAAAAGCATTACAACTCTTTAGACATATACGTGCCCATATATCTGGGAGTGAGGGAGGAAAAACAAGTCTTTTAAAATATCCTAATTATTGCAGACTCCTCCAATCAGACTGTTTCAGTCACTGTCAATGAATTAATTCCAAGTTTACCAACTTTCAGAACTATTCTCTTGGATATTTCAAAGCTAAGTAACACATGCAGAATTAAATAAGCCATCAATCAGTAGTAAATAATTACATCACCTTAGTAAATTAAAAAAGCACCATGGAAATTTACATGAAAAGTGTGCATAAAAATCAATATTTACCAGAAAATTGTCTATAACACATTATCAAAAATTCATGACTGAGTCTGAGTTCTAGTTTACTAAGTGCCAGGCCTGACATTTTTCTATATGTCCCTCAAAAAGTGACAGTCCCAACCCAAGTCAAATCCTATCCCCAAAACAGAACGGAAAAATAATAAAATATAAACCTGTTGGTTGCCATGAAGTAAGAAGTCTGTGCTAAGTCCTTGCTTGCTAAAAAAAAAAAAAAACAGGTGGAGGGAAAAAGTAATTAGTTCCATGTATTCTCAACATTTAGTAAGCATTTAATATTTGCAAAGTAGAGAATATAGTGGTGAATGAGGAAGACATGATCCCTGTCCACCTTAAGTTTACATCCTACCAAAAATAGGTGAATAATTTTTCATTATATTATAATAACTGTGCTGCTTTCAGACCTAGGGACTCGAGCTTTATTCTCTACATCAAGTATCTGACACTTGTTTAAAATTCAATTCCTTGGAAGTGGTTCCATAGTATAGCATTTAGCACGTCTGCTTTATACGCAGAAAGTCCTGGGTTCGCACCCCAGTGGAGCCACAGTCCATGGCCTATGACCATGGCACCCTAAACAAGCCTGATATCTGATCTTGGAAGCTAAGCAGGGTCAGCCCTGGTTAGTACTTGGATAGGAGACCACCTAAGAAGACCAAGTGCTGTAGGCATAAACAATAATTAAAAAAAAAAAAATTCAATTCTTGGACATCCTCCCTAGACTATGACTCAACATGTTTCAAGAAGAATGTAAGCATTTTTAACAAATAATTCAGAGATTCTGATACAAGGGTTCACTGAGAAATACTAAACTGGTGATGAACTAATTTGGAGGCCATTAGAATTCAGAAGACTTTGATATGTTTGTAAAAAGGGATTTGTGCTTTAAAAAAGTTTTAAATTGAGAACCTGTGATTTAATCCTGAAATCATCAAATAACATAATTATTTAATACAATTCAAAAAAGTTTGCTTTTCCAAAAACAAACAAAATAAGCTGCTGTGGATGACAAAGCAAATTTTAATCTTCCTTAAATATTAACGTATATCCATCTCTGTTTAACCCTATCCTTGCTCAATATAAACTTTTTCTTAATTTTTTTCAATTATCTGACATTCAATATTATTTTATATGTGTTTCAGATATATAGCATAGTGGTTAGACATTTATATAATTTATGAAGTTATCCCTCCAACCGGTCTAGTACCCACCTGGCACTATACATAATTATTACAATATTATTAACTATATTCCCTATGCTGTACTTCACATACTTCACATCCCTGTGACTATTTTCTAACTACCAATCTGTAATCTTTTAATGCTTTCAAAGTATGAAGAACTCAGGAAAAACTTGGAATTTTCAGATAAAACACACAGAAGCAAAATACAAAACAAGGCCAATTATCAGTCTGATCTATAAAAGGCAATGAAATACACAATGGTGAATAGATATTCTTGATACTATTATATTAAATGAGGAACTAGGTTTCACATAATTACAGCTACTAAATTTAAATTAAAATAAAAAGAAAGTTCTGCCAAAGGACTGTTAATCATGGAAATAAATTCAAATAAATTCTAGATGATCCTCTGAGTGGCCTTTCAGAACATTTAGGACAGTCAATCCTAGAATCAAATTAAGATCACCCACTCCCAAAACATCCTTAAAATTTGCTGTTAGTTATTTATGATTTGGTGACTTTTCAAAATCTGCCCCCGCTTTGACAAACATCCTCAAGAGGCTAACTTTCTTTAAATGGAAATCACATAAAAACGTTATTTGTAAGAACTCAACAGAAAAACTCAAAGTCAGAATCACTCATTTTGATTTAAGCCAGGTCGCCCTTTCAATTTTACATTTGGTCAAAGGAGCTGTGTTATGTATTTGTCCACAGCAATCTTAGCCTCTAAATGGTAAAACAATTTAAGAGCACCATCTCAAGTTGGGATTCCTTACCTCGAACAAGTTGAGTGCACTTTACCACATGTGTATGTGGGTGATCAATTGTTAGTTCAAAGCCTAAAAAAAAGTAACTGGTTAAAAAGCTAAAGTACTTGAGACATTTTATACATCTTTTATCTGAGTCATCATTAAAGGCCTCCCTCATTTTCCTGTCCCAAAACTGTTATTCAAAGGCTGAGTCATACATGCTCTTCTCTAAGACACATTATCTCCAAAACTGCTTATATTTTGATAGAAGGTACCGCTAAGATAACAAAGCTAATGCAGTCTCAAAACCTGTGAGAAACCAATATCCTCTAAACAAAACACGTTTCAGGAACAATACACTATAATATACAGTTAGAAGGAGCAGTTATTTAAGTAATGACTATCTTCTCTGTTTTGTTCCTTTCCATCATTTTAATTACAATAGGTACTGATCATTTTATCCAACCCCAAAAGGTCTTTATACCAAAATTACTGAAGGAAGATCAGTATGTCTATAAAAATTTTTTGTTTCTCTTTTTGCCTACGTAAAATTTTCTAGGTAAATTCTATTGAGAAATTTATATGATATAAATTATTCTATAAGGATTACTGATTCTTGTAAATTAGGTTTCACCGCTTTCCACATTAAAATATTAAGAAAAATTTGTTCCACCAGAAAAATACCAGTCTCCTAAAATATGGTTACAATGAAGATAATTTAAAGTAAAAAGTTAATTAGCAGACATTAACATCAAAGATAAACTCTGAAGAACTCAGTCTGTCTGTGCTGTACCAGTAACTGCAAAACAGCTCTTGAAATCCTCCCCATCTAAAGAGAAAAATGATAACCCAAAATAACAAGGAAAAAAAATCTTTTCATATTTGCTAAGCTTTTAAAGGCAGTCTCTTTGATGAAAATAATAATGGATAATAACAGAACATCATCAGGGTTACCCATGAACAGCTATACAGCAGGTCCTCAAATAACTTCATTTCATTCAATGTCATTCTGTTATAATGTTAACAAGACAAAAAAAATTTTGATTCCCAGCTGGAGCCACTGTATGTGTGGATAGAGTCTACACATTCTCCCCATGCTATATGGTTTTTCTCCAGGTACTCCAGTTTCCTCCCACATCCCAAAGATGTGCACATTAGGTGAACTGCTGTGTTTAAATGTCCCAGTCAGAGTGAGTGTGGGGGTATATGAGTGCACCCTACAATGGAAGAGTGGCCTGTCAGGGTGGATTCCCGCCTTGCGCCCTGAGCTGTTGGAATAGGTTTCCAGCCACCCTCAACTCTGAGCTGAAATACACTAGTTGGAAAATCATTAAATCATTATCTTTCTTGTTCTTATTCTTTCTCAAACGTTATGTACAGCTCATATTTATTTCAATGTTTTATATTAGAAGTATTTTTGGGTATTTACAAGTTTGGTGACCAGAAACTTAACTCGTTTATGTCAATTAGCCTATGGTAAAATTAGTTTCGTTATATTGTTTCACTTAAAAGCCATGGCTTCCAAGAACCTATCAATGACATTAAGTGAGGACTTACTATAGCTTGAATTCCTCCACCTCCCCTCTGCTGTTCTGAACCCAATTTAAGAACAAACGTTGTTATCTAAATGACAGACTATAAAAATCCATGAAAGGAAAAAAGTTCTTTAAATTATTTCTGCCAGGGGGTGGCTCCATAACGTAGTGGTTAGCACATCTGCTTTACACACAGAAGGTCCTGGGTTCGTGCCCCAGGTGGAGCCATGGACCATACCCAGGTGCGCCAGGCCCTCGGGGTGGCAGCACACCCCGAGAGTGTGGGAAGAGACGCCCTGCCTTCAGAGATCCAGTTCTTAAGGGGAAACAGCAACATCCAAAGGTCAGGGGTGGAAGCAGGGGGTGGATTTTTAAAATTGTTTCTGCCATTAGTTATCGGAAAGTTAAAAACTGTCAAACCTTAAAAAGCAAATCATGAATCCTAGAATAGAAAAAAACACTGCTAACTGCTATTTCAAAAATCATCTGTGCCTTCATTCCTTCTCTGGCACAGGCCAGGGTAAAACTGAACTCTACAATCTCTATCATTTGCAAAACCTTTTCCAAAACATTTTCTTCCTGTTTCCTTATTTTGCAAATTTTAAAATCATATTTCATATATATTTAATGTTTTAAAGGAAAATAAACTTACCTAAAGTCTGCAGAATTATGCTTTCTAATATCACCAGATCTTGAACTTGTTGCAGGTAAGCCTTCAAGTGAGAAGACACATTAGGCACAATATACAAAGTGTAAACAAGTCTAACGACGCCTCCCAGAAAAAACAAAGCCAAAAAAGGTAGGGGCAGAGTTATGGTAGAGGTAGAGTAGGAACTGAAATTAATCTTTATCCCTATTTAGTGTAGACTCAGCTTTTAAAGGGGGAAAAAAGTGGTATACTGAGAGAACACTTTATTCATAAATAGCTACAGAAAAAGCACCAGAGATTTGGTTCATTTTCAGACTGACATTTTAAGTTTTAAAATTCATTTGATGTAGATACATGAAAGATAAAAATACATCTTTTTCAACGTCATCAAAATATATTTGCACAGCCTTCCTAAAGGCAAGATAGGCAATCTCAAACATTTGACTCCTGTTAAACCTTCCCCTTTGGGGTAATGCTAGAGTTCTAAAAATCCATAGAAGAGTTCAAAGGAAAAAGGGAACATATTTGTACTAGCTAATACTGTAGCCACATGGGTATTAAGCACTTGAAATGTAGCTGGTCAAAACTGAAATGCACTACGAGCACAGTATACACAGTGGATTTTGAAGACTAATATAAAAATAATGTAAACTACCTCATTAATAACAACTTTATATTGATTATATGCTGAAATAATATTTGACTAAAGAAAATATATAAAATAGATTAAAATTATTTTTTTAATAAAGGTTTTAAATAAAGTTTAACGAAAAGGTAAAATTTTAAATTACACGTGACTCTCCTTATTTTCATTTTACACACTGGTCTAGAACTCTCAGAGAATTAGACTTGACCAGGAGTTAAGAGACTTACGCTGTAGTTAACTTTCCACTTAACTTTATAATCTTTAATAAGTCATATAAGGACTTCGACTATGCTAATTCTGTTCCATATATTGAAGGAAATATTTTCCCCTAATCACTTCATAAGGAATAGAGACTCAGGTAAGAAATTATGTAAACATAATTTAGAAAAGAAAAAAAAGTAGGGATTATTTTTTGTTTATTTTGTTAAAACTGTTTTATTTGGTCAATTCTATAGACCAATGGTACTTAGTAGTTAGTCTCAAATCTAAATAAAAGTCCAGAGCAATAACTCTTTCAGTAAGAGGTACTGGGATAGCCCAAAGAGAAAATGAAGTCAGTCAAGACACTGCTATGCAAAACACTTAATTCATATAATTAGGGGCTATTACTAACATACACAAAAAAATAACCCCCCAAAAAACCACTTTCTCCAATATGATCAGTATAACACATAATCCCATTTATCTCTCTGATAAAGGGTAACTAATACACCCACTGTAAGAGATTTAAATAATCTTGTAACAGAAATCCATAATTTTTCCCTAAGCACTTACAGATGTCAAACCTCTCTATTTCTCAAGACTCACCACTCCCGCACCACTGACTTTTAAAGCCAGAAGTTTCCCATCTCCAAGAAGGTCAAGGAAGGATGGAAGGGTGAAAAAAAGCTATATGTATATGCACAGCATAAAAGGTCTGGAAGAAGACACTATACTGGAACTGTAATCAGCAGTATCCTCCTAGGAAGAGGAGGGGAGATGCTTTAACTTTTACTTTAAATGATTCTTAAGTGTTTGGTTTCTTTCATAATTAGCATACATAACTTTTATGATTTCCTAGAAAATTCTCTTAGAAACAGAGAATGGTTAAAATGTATATATATGTACATAATGAAATATTATCTTGCTATTTAAAGCAAGTGGAAAATTAATAAAATGGGAAAATATTTGGGATATAACATATAAGTGAAAATAACATATAAAATATACACATATATAGCTATTCATAAAAAAGAAGCTGGAATAATGGTTCGCTTACATATCTGTGGTCCAAATTATATCTTTTTCTGCATTTTCCAATTTTACTATAATGAACACAATTCACTTTTGCCATAAAATTTCTTTGCTGTTTTAAGGGGAAACAAACACTAAAAAGGCTCCTTTAACAGTCCCCATTTGGACTTCAATAAATCGAAGTTACAAAACTAAGCTATGATCAAAATAAATTAAGAAAAATAGATACATAATTAATCCCCTACCTCACTCCTAGTATCGGGAAGTGATTCCTGTGGATGGAGACAAGCATGTGCTACCTTGATGACGTGTTCCAATTTTTTTGGCTGCTCCTCTACTTTAGCTGCTAGAAATAAGGCCGCCGGAGCCACAGACTGGATGGAGAAAAAATAAATTATATTTATTTATTTATTTTATTTCCAGATCAAAGTAGATCTAAAAAAGAACTAAGTCTCAAACCAAGTTCATTGCTTACCTCAACTTCATCACCTCTTGTTCATGCTTTTTCCTCTACTTAAAATGTCCTCCCCTCACCTATTCATTAATCCACATCTACTTCTAAAAACCAATCCTTCAACAAACTATCTCTCATTAAAAGCTACCTATTCAATAAGCCACTAGATGTAAATAGACAGCTTTCTATTTAAAATGAGATTTTTTATTAAGTTTGTATCAAAATACTCTACATACTTGTTTAAAAAGAAGTAAACTAAAATGTCCAGAAAAGGCAAATCCACAGAGACAAAAGAAAGTAGATTAGTGGTTACCAGGGGCTGAGAGGAGAGGGGAATGGGAGTGACTGCTAGTGTGAGGAGCTTCCTTTTGGGGTGATGTAATGTTCTAGAATTAGATCATGAGGTGGTGGCACAACCCTGTGAATATCCTAAAAAATAGTGAATTGTACACTTTAAAAGAAAAAATTTTATTGTATGAGAATTATCTCAAACACACTTACATATGGAGTCAAAAATCTTTAGAAAAGGTATTCAAAGTATATTCAAGAGGTTATACCTGGAAGTCACTTAGAGGGGAAAAAATCAAGCCAACATACAAGTAGACATCAAACTCAGACACTAAACAATATAAGAGATTAGGGCAATATGACATAAATGTAGCCTGGTGATCTGGGGAACTTCATCAAATAGAACTTCTCTTGAATCTTAAAAATATTTCAATGAATCTAAGATGGCAATGGCCTAGAGCTAGAATTCACCAGGAGTCAAAGAAATGCAATATACAGTCTTATAGAATTTAAATATCTATTTCAATTTACTGAACAGAACTGACACGCATCCTAGTACAGAAGTCCTCCGTTATTCTCTAGAGATCCTTTCCAAGACCCCTGGTGGATGCCTGAACTTCGAATAGTACTAAACTCTATATAGACTATGATTTTTCCTATACATACATACTTATGATTAAGTTTAATTTATAAATTAGGCACAGTAATAGATTAGTAACAAATAATAAATTAGAATAATTATAATAATATGCCATAATAAAAGTTATGTGAATATGGCCTCCCTTTCTGAACTGATAACTGAGATGGCTACTAAGTAATCACTGGTGGGTAGCATATATAGTGTGGAGTCGCTGGACAAAGGGATGATTCACATTCCAAGCAGGACAGAGCGAGACTGCAAAAGATTTCATCGTGTTACTCAGGATAGCATGCAATTTAAAACTTATAAGTTGGTTTTTTTTTCAGGAATTTTCCATTTAATATTTTGGACCACAGTTAACCACAGGCAGCTGAAGCCAGTGAAAGGCGGGACTACTGTCCTTATTTGTATTCCTGCTATTTTCTGTTACACTTTACTAGAAGAGATTTTTCTCCGCAATTCAATTTATAGTAACAATTTTCTTCCCTCATATTTGTTGTAGGTGTATATGCAGCTTGCTCCACATACATTCCTAGAGTTTAGGATAAGAAAAAAGAACGAGAAGAAAATGGGCATAAACAAATGTGTGGGGAATCAGGGCATGAAGCACATTTTAAACACTAAACTGAGTAGTAAAGTGATACGGAAAATGGGATGTAGGACACAAAAGATTTTTAATGAGAGTGACACTAAAGATTTTAGAAAAATAGGTAGAGTTTAAGAAACGTTTAGAAAGATCAATCCAGTGGTAGGTGGGACTAAAAGGAGAAAAGGATAGGATACACTAGAAGTTAATTTTTATAAAAGAAAAGCATTCGATAATCCAAACATTGAAATAAAGTTTAGAGTAGGTACTAGCAATAGAAATAAAGAAAAAAAGCACAGATATCACTTGAAAAACTAATATAGCTGCACCAAATATGTTATTTGCTTGCAGAGAAAAAATTCTAATGGAATATACTCCAAAATGGTAACAGGATTATCTCTAAACAGTGAATTATAGGGAAATCATCATTTTCTCCTTTATTCTGTCTTCTTTTAATTTTATGACTATATATATTTATAGGGGGAGAAAAACAGTAACAGTATAAAAATTAATAGAACGTTATAACTGATTGGACGAAGGAGAAAAGGAAATGGACAACTCAAAGACAACATCAAGATTTTAAGCCTCCAAATTTGCCTTCCAGGGGCTAAATATATTTGAAAGGAGCTAACTAAAATATGGTATACAAACAATGACTAACAGGGAAAGATAATATTTCAGTAAGTGAAAGACTGCAAAAGATCTATCTCAATCTTTTGTGCAAATCAACCATACAAATACTCATTGTTCTTCATGGAATCACTTACCACGCCGGTTTATTAAAGCATTTCCCATTAAAGGCAGCTTCTCAGAGAAATTTTTATACCAGGTACAAGTATAAGATTTTCTTCATTTTAAAAGAACAATAATAATGCCAGCTAGTGCTTGTTTGCTGTGTGCAGGCACTTTGTAAATTCACTTAAATCCTATTAACGACTCTATGAGGTAGGCACTATTATTGATTCCAAAGATAAGAGAAAACTAAAGCCTATGGTAACTTGCTCAAAGCCATGCAGCTAGTAAGCAGTGCACCAAGGATCTAAATCTAGACATGTCTGACTTCAGAGCCTATCTTCTTAACCACTAAGCTTGACCTCTTAATAATCAACTAATAAGAGTAAAAAACACCCAAATTTATTAGCTATTAAAATACAACACCTGTATTTAAAAATACATAAAACAGCATAAGCACACACACACCAAGTTGCTCACTACTACTTTTATATTCCTCCAATAGAAAACATTTAAAACTGTTTATAGAAAATCAGGTAACAAGGCTGAATTTCTTCTCAAAAAGAGAATAAATGCAATGCCAGAATTCAAGTGAAAAAAAAAAAACTAAACCAGTGATTTAATCATGTCCACCAAAGAAGTAAAATTTACTTTAATCAAAAAGCAAGTTCTCTACCTTCCAGGGTGTTGGAAACATACTCTATCTTGATCTTAGTGGTGGTTACATATATATAATAATGCAAAAAGTAATCAAGTTGCACACTTCATATTTCTGCGCTTCACTATATGTTTATACCGCGATAAAAAACTTAAAAAAAAAAAAAAGGCAAGAGCACTGGGCTCCAAAACGCTATCAATAAAGAGAACCAACAAAATTAGAAAAGTATTCACAACACATGACATGCAGCTCTAATACACAGTGTTCATATAAGTAAGAAAATTGGAACAATTAAAGAGGGGCAAAGTGAATCAACAGTCAGCTTTTAAGTTAATTCCTGAATTTTATGAGAACAATGACTAATAGGCATAAGCAGCTCAATTTCATTAACTGAAGAAATGTAAATTAAGAAAATAATTTCGGACTCCCTCTATCTCGGTCACCACTGTATCCCTAGTGCTTCACAAGTAGTTACAACTTAATATTTCCTGAAGTAACATATTTGCTGTCAGTGAGGATGGGGAAAAAAAGATCCCTCTCCTACAATGCTAGAAACAATGTATACTGATGTAATCTTTCAACAGGGCAAATTAACACAACAAAAAAAATTTTAAATACATACCTTTGGACACAGCAATTCCACCTATAAGAATTTATACTAAAATAATCATAAGTGCACTACACGTGTACCAGACTATCTTATGTAACATTATTTATAATATTACAAACTAGAAACAACTCAAATATCACCAAAAGGGAGCTGGTGAAATAAGGTAACACAAAGAAATACTATGTGGTCATTTAAAATAATAAGAAACCAAAATGAAAAGGTATCCAATATATACTGTGAAGTATCAAGTTGTATAAGAGTAGTACAATAAGAATTGATATTCATAGAAATGCATAAATGCTAGTTTATACACAGAAAAATGTCTGGGACAGTATATGCTAAACGATTATTAATGGTTACTCTGGAGAGTGGGATTACGTTAGCTATATTATATATTTCTGTATTGTTTTAATTTTTACCATGAGCATTTATTACCTTTGTAATTAAAAAAATAAATAGAAAATGTATAGGAGTTTGACAGAACATATGACTTATCAATTCCACAACAATGTATTAAGTCCTCTCAAATCTGAATTTGGATTCATCACAGCTAAACTCTTAAATCAACTCCCTAAAGGATCAACCCCAAATTAAAAGTCATCGGATTTGAAAAAAATCATGACATCCCAAAGAATCTCTCTCGGTATTGGATAATTACCAGACCAATCATTCATTCAACAAATTTACTGAGACGTTTTGGAGGATACACAGGAAAGTGAGTCTCTGTACTTGCTAAGCTTAATACATGGGGAATAAGGAAAGACATAATTTAAAAGATAAAAGCAGGGCAAGTATACATTAATATACATATACATGCATACAGTGAACAAATTGAGACGTATTTCACCCTGGATTTCAAATCTTTACCATAAAAAAAGGGAAGACATGTAGAAACTTTGAGAATTGGCAAAACAGCTATGGACTTTCAAGTTTTATTCTTTATCCACGAGCTCATATTCTAGAATCATCAGATAGCCTCATTAAATGCTTCTCCCTCTCCCAATAAGGGTGTGCACCTTGCAATGAGAGGTAGAGCATGGCTAAAGTAACGGAAGCTAAGGGTAGGAGAAAGCCAAGCTGACTGGATAATCAGCAAAAATTGGGAATACTTAATCCACAAATTCAAAGGGTTTCCTGTGCAATTACTCCTAATATTGAGCCCACCAATATCTTACAAGAGCAATATCTAGCTTCACAGAATCTCTTCCTATGAGCACTAAATAAATAAATAAATAAATAAGTTTGAAATCTATCATCCTAAGTCTGGAACACTTTTCCTCAAAACATAACCTTAAAAAAAAAAAATAGGAATATTTAACTCACAAAGCCATATGACATGTTCATCAAGTTTAGCTCTATTATCTTGTGAGTTTATTAAATACAGTCTTACCTGCAGCTGCGAAATCACTATTCACTCTCTTCCAAGTAATTTATAATTATGTTAAATAGTACCATTTCAGGTAGCGAAACTGAAAATAGCACTATTAACAATTCTGTCCAGAAAAAAAAAATCCCTTTATTACTATTTTTTTCTTTTTCCTGTCTTAAAAGTCAACCCCAGTCATCCTATAACCTACCTTCCCACTCCAACCTGTCATTGATTGGAATTTTATCACTAGATAAATCTAAATAACTTCCATTCATTTATTTTCCTATGACCGTATTACTTACCACTTGAAAAATTGCACTTAAATTATGCCGTTTCCCCTTTAATGTTACTCTCCCAACCCAAAATGTTAAATTTAAATGTTTAATAATCTATTTCTTTATTAAAGAATCCACCTACTCTAGGATGCACTAAACTTACCAAACAACTAGGCACTTCACAGAAAAATTTGAAGGCTGGATTCAAAAGAGCAGTCTGACACATGAGTGACCAACACTAAATTCAAAACTTCAAATCTCAGTTCAGCAGTAAAGACCAACCACAAGAAATATGAAGTTGGACTCAATCACAAAAGAATTACACTATATAAAAAATTTATACTTACATTTTGATGGAACTGTGTAAAGGACTGAATCATGTAGAATCGATGCATGTATACTATAGCAGTGTTGATAGTCAATTGTGACCTAAAATGTTCAAGTCAAGGCCCCAAAACAGGCAGGCAGTACAAGTCCCCAAAATACCACCTCTATATCCTCCCAAAACCATCACTCAGCTAAGCAGAGTACATGCTCCTAAATGAAAATCATACCTCTCCACCAAATTACTAACCACCAACTGACACTTCGCATGCGTTAAACATAACAGGTTTTCAATATAAATATGCTGAATTAACAAGCAAGCTTCTCAGCATGCATGTGGATCTATTTAAGACTTAAACCTGTCACCTGCCTACTGAAAAACCTGCAAGGGTGATCCATTAGCTCATGGTATCTCTTCTCGATTTACAACACCCTCCATGACCTGGCCCCAAGATATGTCTCCACTATCTCACCTTCTAAGTTCCAGCAATTAACTTTTCAGTTCCACTTCTCTCTGGCAAGCCAGCCTTCTCATATGGTGACCACTGGGACTAGAAACACTGTGAAACAATCTGATATTCGAAAAGAAAAACTTTTAAATGCCTTACTGCTAAAGACCTCAGATGACAAAGTGGAGTACATACACAAAGATGAGGCAGTCCCATAATGGCAACCTTTAATAACACATATATAAAAAGGAAAGGGCTACTGAAACAGAATTTCAAACAAAAGGTTTAATTAACTCAGTACTGACTAAATCCTTAGGAAACAAATTGGAATTGGCAATAAAGAAAACACCTCTTTTGAGGTGAGCATTTTAATACACAAATGTTACAAACAGCAACATATTTAAATGGAGGCTGCACCCAAGGATAATTTTTCACTCCCAGAGTGAAAAGAACTTTATCTTTCTCTGCTACAAAATGAATATATTTTCTAACAAAAAAAAAAAAAAATGCTTGGACTGATCAGTTCTTTTCAACCTGGTAGGTGCATGAGGCCCTATCTCTGGACAAAGCGGTTGTGGCAAGGGTGGACCATGATAGCTAGCAACAGCATATGCACCCTGGTGGCAGGAGTGGTGCCAGCCCAGAACATATTCACCTTGAAGACCGAGACAGGGTGGAAGACCAAGTTCATCAAGATGTCTATATCCAAGCCCTGCATTTCTAGATATTGCTTACCACTTATGCTGTTGTTCTAGGACAAATTCAAGAACCAAAGAACTCAAGAGTGCCTTAAGGAAGACTGGATAACCAAGAAATTACTAAGATTCTGCTGTACATGTGAAAATGATGCCAGAATTCCAGAAAAGTTCAGTTCTCATGAAGAACCCTACAAGAGCAGAAGAAATTATCTGTGGTCTTATCAAAGGAGAAGCTGTCAAACTTCAGATAACAAGACTTTAATTTGACATAGAGGTTTTCCTACAAAGGGAAAAGATGTCCAACATGTCATAACATCACTGACAACAGTAAGCTGGTTTCAGATGAACGTCGAGAAGTTACTGAAACTAAATGAAAATTCGCTATTGAAATTAATCCTGTTCTTACCATAGAAGAGTAGTACCCTTTACCTGGTAAAATGACATACTAAATCACATGGTTTGTCGAACAGGTTTTTACCAAAACCTAAAGAAATTAGGGCAGAATCTGATGCTATGCTCAATGATACAAGAATTTCTATGAAAAGCTCCAACACAGTATCCCTCTGTTCATGTTATTTTTGGCTGGTTATTGGTGATATACTAGAGATTATCTGTCAAGCTGGTGTTTATTATCCAAATGTCAAAGTAGTATCCAACTTCACAATTTTGATAAGGGGATGCTCAACGATTGAAAAAAACTAATTCATGTATTTAACAAACATGATGGTGCCTTGAAGAACACAGCTCAATCAACTAAGACAACATAATTCTGCTTGGGAGACTCAGACTTAAAAGTGGCAGATGGGCAGCCAATGTCGAACACGTTCTGAAACCTGGATATCTAAATGGCAGAAGAGCTTTTGGAAAAGTACATGGACTCTTATGATAAAGTCCTAGTAAAATATGAATCATTGGAGGTGGCCAACTCTAACTTACAGAAGATTCTGTAAACGAGCTTAAGACCTCTCTCCTTATGAGTACAATTGCTTTAAGAACTGCTCATCTGTTCACCTTGTTGAAAGACTTATTTATAATATATACTTGCTCCAGTTTTTCCTCTACATTACTAAAGTATTACTGAAGTATTCCATGTTGAATCCATCAACTGGAAGCTTTTTCTCAACACATTCACATTTTTTAACATTAAAAAAAAAAATCTTAAAATCAAAATTTGAAAATTAATTCCCTACATTTCCAGAGAGTATTCTACAATTTAACGTTATCATTAAGTTTCTGAGGATTCTTTTTACACTGGAAAGTTTGTAGAAGTTCAAAAAGAATTTTTATGAAATAGTGAAATAATGTGCAGTTTTTAAGTATTGCCATGTTTGTAATTTGGGTGAATTATGCTGATGGTATCACCGTCAACTAAAATTGTATTATGTTGGTTATTTTGTTTTGGGAAAAATAGATATTTACCAGAAAATACTGGCACGTGGTGTTTGAAAAAAACTGTTGGTATCCACATGTCGTTAGTCATTATACAATGTCCTACACTGAAGCACTGATAATAAACATAAAGTGAAAAGCAAAAATAAAATGCTTGGGAGGATCACTAATTATCTCACCTTTGAAATATGAGAAAAACGAAGACATTAGCTCTATCTTAAATTTAAAAAAACACAAAACAGTATTTTGCAAGTTTTTTAAACCATTAGATCCGTAGGTCTACAGCCCTAAAATCTAAACTTACATCCCTCCCTCCTGTGAAATTTTATAACATTCTTAACAGTAGCTAGCTACTGTTTGAACTCGAGTGCCAGGCATTGTGTTGGGCACAAAAATCAAATGCAAGAGGTATCACCCCATTTTACAGACCAGAATACCAAATTTGACAGGTTTCTAAAACAGCTAGTAAGTGGGAAGAACGGATTTTAAATCAAAGCTGAGCATTAATTCTGGGCCACCCTTCACTTGGGTATTGAATTTCTTAAAATTCTCTTTACACACTAAGCTCGAGGCAGCCATCAACGGTGAAACCTCAACCAGACCCCTAGAGCATAGCAGAAAAGCAGAATCTGTCACTAGAACAGGAAATCAGAACACACCAAAAAGGGCCTAAAAAGGGCTGGTTAAACACAAATCCTGGAAGGATACGAATTCCTAGCAAGGTTGGTGGCACCGGTGTGCGAGCGGGAAATTAACTCCGCCTCGCCACCCTCGCGCGAAGACTTAACTTCAGCCCGTCCCGTCGTAGGCTCTCCCACCTGGACATCCAGCCCCTACCCACTCTCTTCCCTGTTTCGTCCCTGACAGAGCCTGAGGCCTGGACGCGAGCTAGGCGGGACTGACTCCAAGGCCGAAGGCCTAGGCCGCAAGGATACACGTTAAGACGTTGTCCCATGTCCTGAAGCAGATTGGCCGCCTGCTGACGAAGAGAAAGCTCTTTATCTGGGTCCAGGCCAAAACGACGGGATGGGCTATTTTCCAGCTGTTCTCGAGTAAAATACCACCGTTTGTTGTTCTTCCTCTCTTCCTCCATAGTGCTTCAACCAGAAGGCAGCGGCGGAGGCTGCAAGCACTTCTCAGCGTCACTTAAGCGGCGACACACATCCGCCGTGCGAAGGCAACTGCGCCGTGACGAACTTCCGCTAAGGGTGGACGGCTAGGTTGTGACACGCTTCCGCCGAGAAGTATAGTTCAAGTGTCTGCTTCCGGAATAGACCTCGCGACATCATGTAGCCTACTAAGCAGCCAGTAGGGGACCAGCAGGCGTTAGTCATGTGACCCTTGGGAGGGAGGGTGAGGTTAGAAGTTCTCGTCCAAAACCACGCCTCCTCCCGCGAGAACTGGGTTGAGCATTCGCGCCACTGGGCGGGTAGGTGAGGCAGTGTTTGTGGCGCGACGAGGCGCCCGCCCACGCGCCGCCTGGCGGCTCCTCGGAGTACTTCGTTTGTGGCAGAGGTGGCGATATAAAATGGGACAGATGAAGATTTTGACAAAGTAAGTAGGTGAGACTGTCAAAAATTGAAAAAAGTAGTCAAAGAGAGTGGCCCTTTCGTATATCGTAACATAAAACAAGTAAAAAGCTCTCACATTGTTGGTAGCGGAGTAAATTCCGCATTTGAAAAGCCGGCATGTGATATGTAGCTAAAGCTTTGAAAGCTTTCTTAGCTTCTCCACGGTGATACAACGTAAAGGGATAAAATGAAATTAATATAATTAATTTAGTGCTTTACCATGTTTCAGGCATAATACCCTTAAATGTATTATTTCATTTAATCAGCACAACCCCAAGAGGTGGTAACATTTTAATACTTGTTTTGAGAATGGGCGAACTAAAACTGCTTCATTGTGGAGAGTTTGCACCAACCTGCACATGCACAAATTTGTAAGTTTCTGTCTTCTGTCAAGAGGTAGCCCAGCTCCAACTCTTGATAGCTGTTTAATCCCTAGGCAGGAGTCTCTGTGTCTCTTGTACAAATGTAAATGATAGTAATAGTACCTAAGTTTTAGGTTGTGAAAAGGATTTTAAATGAAGATTTAATGAGTTAAGAGCATTTATAATAGTACCTGGCACATAGAAAACATTCAGTAGATGTTATAGTAGTTACTAGATTACATTGGTATTGAGGGCAAAAACAATGCCTTCGTCATTTTTGTATCCCTAGCACCTACCTACTATAGTCCTGGTCCTAGTAGTCAATAAATGAAATAAACGAAATGTGAAATAAATGCTCAATACCCTATAATAAAGAAACAGGATCAGGGAGATTAAGTACACCGCTTATAAGTGTGGATTTTAAAAACAAGTCTAATTGTTCTTTTCATTCTAGCAAACCGTATTTTTGCTTTTCTGAAACACTCAATTTATCTTGATTAAATTTGGGTAATAGAATCATTTGTCTTTATTACTATTTTGAGTTTTATCATTTCGAGACATGGCTGTTCCCACGCAGTAAGTTTGATTCTAATTCATTCTCAGAAGTATTTCCTTCCATTTCAGGCCCTCTGCCATATACTGCCTATAGTTAGCCTTTACTCCATTTTACTCTGAAAAAATTGAGATTTAGGAATATTTGAATTACTGACATCAGATTATAACATTAACAAAACAACTTATGATTTCAAATTTCTTCTATCACAGACTTTTTCTTTTAATAGAATAAGCATTTTTTCAGTTATGTAGTCATGTATGTTGTCTTTTAAAAGCCAAAATTATTTCTCCCCAATCCTTCTTGCTTTTGTTTGGTTATCCACTTAATCTTTTGAATTGATGACTCCATTTTGAATTTGCTATCCTGGCTGAGTATGCCAGTCTTCCAAGAAAAACTTCTGGTATCTGTAAGTCTTCAGGCAATGTGGCTGCTAACCAATGGCTTGCTACCCTGCCATATAGAAGAGGAGGACTCATATAAATCAGAAAGGAAATATTCCTTGACCAAAGATGAAATTATTAGAAAGAAGGCAACAGTGATAACGTAATTGCTAAACATAAGTTTTGGAGTTAGGCCTGGATTCAAATCCCAACTATTTTTTTTTAACCATCTTAACCATTTTTAAGTGTACAATTTAGTAGTGTCAACTGTATTCACATTATTATGCAACATGTCTCTACAACTTTTTCATTTTGCAAAACTGAAACTCAATACCCATTGAATAAGTCCCCATTTCCCCCTCCACCCAGCCCTGACAACCCCCATTCTACTTGCTGTTTCTATAAGTTTTACTTTAGATACCTTATATAAGTGGGATTATACAGTATTTCTATTTCTGTGACTAGTTTATTTCACTTAGTATGATGTCCTCAGGATTCCCAGCTATTCTTTTAACTACTTATGTGATCTTAAATGTCATCTCTGCATCCTGACAGAACACCATCTGGCACATAGTAGGTGTTAGTATATGTTTATTGTCAAAATAACGTTAACCTTCTGGTGCATTGCCCTTAAAAAACAATTGACAAAATCTTAAACTAGAGGAGTTTTTGTTGTTGTTGTTGTTAGTTAGTTAGTTTAAATAGGACTCTGTTTTCTGTAAATCACACCTATAAGGCTACTCCTCTTATTTACAAGACTATACTAATACAGGATTATATCATGTTTCATGGTTTGATCTTATTTTGCACTGTGCTTATGAATATAATATTTCAATTATGTCAAACATTACCATTTACTACTGTTAAAACAATTTCTCCCAACATTCCTATAGTCTCCAAATTAAAATATGAAAAGATGGTATGCTATTCCTATCCCCAAGTCCATGTTCAGTGATGTCGCATTGATACCTTGAAATTGACCATAGTGTGTGTGCGCTGGTAAATTATTAACAAACAGCTATCCGGAAAAATAGTTGTATGTGTATGTATATCTACATAAAGTTTATTATAAAATTTACCAATATAAAGGATGGGTAACACAATTTATAAAAATAAATGTACAATCTTATTTATTGTAAATTCCTTATAGCCAACTGTTTCTCACAGAATGATTTCATTGAGTTTTGCCAAATTCTTGAATCAAGAACTATCCTATGAGTGCATTTGACAAATGAATATAGCTTTGTAGGTTGACATTTTCATTTGCATTAATCAATAAGATGAAAGTGAAACAATGAGACTTAGGTTGGACTTATTTGTCAGTGACTTGATCAATATCTTTGCTGAATTGGATAATAGTTTTTGAATACTGGAAGAATATTTCAATTTTTTTGCTATTGATAATGTAATGGCCACAGACATGATACACTTTTAAACTTAGTCTGCATAATTAACTTTTTCTCAATCACTTTTTTAATTCTGGGTAATCAATAAAACAAAAATCAAGCCTTTGCCCATAGATTTGCCAATTTCTGTAGTGTTATGTCCCACCATGGCCAATTTCAGGCTACCAGTGTGACATCACTGATCATGAAATTGGGAGGAGATGAACACGCCATCACATAGTATTTCCTCCATACTAATGGAATAGACAGGGACTTCTGGTTTCCAGTCTGTCATGTAAAGAGCTTGGAAGTCATCACTCTCATCCTCACAAGCAAAAAACAAAAAAACAAAAACAAAAACTGAAACAAACTGAAAATTAACCCTTCTTAGATGCATCAGAAAATTGAGGTAACAGGGCAAACCTCTACCACAAAAACTGAAAGACAGGTGGAATCAGAACAGGCAGAACAGAGACTTGTGGCTGACTCAGGAGCAAAAATTACTGGAACCAGCAACTCATAGGAATACTTAAAGGGCAATTGACTAATTGTTGGAAACTAAAGTTGGACTAGATCGAGAGATTTAAAATACTCTTGCGGGGGCCAGCCTTAGGTGGTCTCCACATTTTCATGAGTTTTACCTCCAAGAACCCCATATAGTAAACCCTAATCTTACTATAAAGATTGAAGAAAAATCTCCTCATCCTTCTGGCAGGTAGAGGGGAAAGGTAGCCATTTTGAAATACACCCAGAGCATTCAGTTCTCCTTAACAACGGTGTACCTTCAAGAAAAACTATTTAACAACCTAACCAATATGAGAAGGGAAGCAACCAACTCCAGCCTTCAGGGTCACAGTTCAGGGACACAAGCTCACTGAAAGACTGAGATTTAAACAGGATTGTAGAATACTTCATCTCCCCACATTTTACCAACACATCAGTAGGGTGCCTATGTAATAACAGGATTACAACTGGAAGAACGATAAGCTCACGCTATTTAAGAAGGAGTCTCTAAGGAAACCCAAAGACAATGACATCACAGAAAATTTTAGCCTCTAACACCTACAGCTATTGCAAACAGAAAATAAAGCCTAACTTCTAGCCATATATCATGTCTGACTGTATACCAAAAAAAAAAAAAAATACAAGGCATGCTAAAAGGCAAAAAAAAAATACCGTCTAAAATGACAAAGCGAGCATGACCAGACCCAAATATAGTAAAAATTTTGGAATTATCAAACTGGGAATTTAAAATAATTATGAATAAAATGCTAAGGACTCTAATAGAAAAAGTGCACAATGTGCAAGAACAGATGAGTAGTGTAAACAGATGAAAACTAAGAATCAACAAGAAATGCTAGAAATCAAAAACACAGTAATAGAAATGAAGAATGCCTTTGATGGGCTTACCAATAAACTGGACACAACCAAGGAAAGAATCAGTGAGTCTGAAGATAGGCCAACAGAAATTTCCCAAACTGAAAAGCAAAGAGAAAAAAAGAATGAAAGAAAAGAACAATATTTAGATAGAATGTAAATAACCACATGAGCACAGATAATAGTGAAATGTAGTAAAATAATTAAAGAAGAGTTTTTAGTACTTACTACTTTTATTTTTAATATAATTTATTCAATTATAATTTTAGATAACTTTAATTTTTAATAATGGCTTGTTTAACATCCAGCTCACAGAATTCCTGAAAATTTAGCAAGTGGCTCTTGAAAGTAAATATGAATTGGCTCAGCACACTGCTGCTTGAAATAACTCAACGACTTGTTAAGAGGACTGTATTCAGATTTAAATATAAATCTGTTTGCTGTGATTCCATTATATGCTGAACAGTGCTGAGGAAATTTGCATACATTATCTTATTCTCAGAACTCTATAAAATAGATACCATCACCATTTTTTTTTTAATTACTGTATTCAAAGTCAGGCATCTAGAATATGACAAAACTTAAGATGTGAGCCCAGGTCAGTGCTCTTTCTACTCACTGCCTTCTGAAACTTAGAGTATAAATAAGACAGGAGCAAGAAAAAGGGTAACTGGCACTTAATTCCTCCATTTTCCTGAAGTTACTTAGCCCACTCCCACACCTGCTCCACCATGAACCCATAAATTCTGTGCCTCTTTAGACAAAGGGAGTGTCAGTAATTCTTAATAACATTACCATGGTTACCAAACACAGAGTCCAGTGCTCCAGCCTGGACGTTCCAGAAGAGGACAGGGAGGAGCTGAGATGTCCTTCTTCAACTTATGTCTACTGGGATATCAAAATTCTTTTCGGCAAAAGAAAAGGGACAGAACTGAAGAAACAAGTAAGGGACTATAGAGTACTTTGGGTTAGAGATTTATCCCCTGAGATTAACAATTACACTAGTTAGAAGTATGGAGTAGGCAGAGTATCCATTCAGGTGCCCTCTCCTATCATTTAATATCCTTATTAAAATACCCAATTTGTTCAACCAAATAAATATATTTATTTGCTCACTTAACCCACATTTATTAAGCACCAACTATGTGCCAGGCTTTCTGTTGGTGACTTGGGTTACAAATATGGATAGGATAAGGCCTCTACCATAAAATGGCTGACTATTGAATGAAGATAAGTAGGCAAACAAAAAATTGGTAACATAGTATATGATTAAATTAAATATGAAATGCTATGGAACCACAAAAGAGGAAGTACCTGATACTATCAGCTTTGAGATGAGAATAGGGGGATCCTTTAGAGAAGACCTCACAAACAACTGTGTTAAAGGTTGAAATTCACCAAGTATACAAGGGAATATAGCATAGAAAAAGGAACAGAAACTTGAGAGAGAGCCATATTAAGTCAAGTAGACAGGTGCTAGGAAGCAGGCCTTGAAAACTAGGCAGGGGCCAGATAATTAAAGATGCTGTTGACCATGCTAAGCATTTTAACTTTATAGGGAGCCATTGAAGGATTTTTAGTTGGCAGTGAGTAATTATCAGATCTGCATTATATCCACAATGCCTAGCAGTGCCTCATGCATAATAGAGGTTTAATAAATAATTAGAGGGTGAATGAATAAATGATATTAAATGACTAACCAAAACAAAAAGTTAGGGTAGGCTTTGCAGTATATGTGACAGTTGATTAAGGTATTAAAAGATGAATTGTTTGAAAGCACAGGAATGGAGGAGAAAGGGTATTCTGGGCAGAATGGAGAACACGTGAAGGTTTACTGAAGCAAAAGTTATATTGGGGTGAGGGATGCGGGTTTCTGGGAAAGCATAAAGTACAAAATTAAGATTGTAATGGACTGATCTTGTGTAGGCCTCCATTGGGCACTCTGTACATTTTTTAATTCCACCAAAGAAGCTCTGTTTTACATATCCAACTTCAGGTAACACTTGCCCCTGATGGACCCTAGGAATCCCTTAGTAGCCCTCCACCAACCCTCCCCATTTGCCCACATCCATCTGTGTCCCAGCAATATGCCATGGGGCTGCCACTGTCTCTAAATAAGGAACTCTTTACCCTCTGTTGGAGAAACACACTTGGCCTAACCCACGAATTTCCGTTGTTAACTTTTTGCTCAGCTAACACTAGAATTGTTGACTTGGGTACTCCTTTATGTTTTCTCTGCTTAAAACTCAAACTTTTGCTGGAGTTACTGATGAAAACTCAGTGCTAAGAGTTCAACCATATCTTATTTCTCCAAATAAAACTAGGAAGTTGTATTTCTGGGTCAAGAATTTAGTGACGAGAAATAAAAGGCATCCGAATTGGAAAGGAAGAAATAAAACTCTCATTATTTGCTGATGACATGATACTATATAGAGAGAACCCTAAAGATTCCACCAAAAAATTGTTAGAACTGATCAATGAATTCAGTAAAGTAGTAGGTTACAAAATAAATATCCAGAAGTCATTGGCATTTTTATACACTAATGATGAACTTTCAGAAAGAGAAATTAAGAAAACTCCCATTTACAATTGCATCAAAAACTATAAAATACCTAGGAATCAAATTAACCAAAAAGGTAAAAGGCCTGTTTTCAGAAAATTATAAGTCATTAAAAAAAAATTGAAGAAGATACAAATAAATGGAGCATACCGTGCTCATGGGTAGGAAGAATCAACATCATTAAAATGGTCATACTACCCAAAGCAATCTATAGATTCAATACAATTCCTATCAAAATACCAATGATATTTTTCAGAGAAATGGAACAAATAATCCTAAAATTTATATAGAACTATAAAAGACCCTGAATAGCCATGGCAATCTTGAGAAAGAAGAACAAAGTTGGAGATATCACACTACCTGATTTCAAACTATACTGCAAGTCTACAGTAATCAAAACTGCATGGTACTGACATAAAAACAGATACATTGATCAATGGAACAGAATAGAGAGCCCAGGAATAAATCAACGCCTATACATTCACTTAATATATGACAAAGGAGGTAAAAAAAATACAATGGGGTAAAGATAGTGTCTTCAATAAATGGTGTTAGGAAAATTGGACAGATATATGCAAATAAAAAAGAAGCCGAATCACCTTCTTACACCATATACAAGAATAGACTCAAAATGGATTAAAGACTTAAATGTAAGACCCAAAACCATAAAACATTTAGAAGAAAACATAGGCAGTAAGCTCTCTGATATTACTAACAGTAATTTCTTTTCAGATATATCTTCCTGGTCAAGGGAAACAAAAGAAAAAATAAACAAATGGGACTACATCAAACTAAAAAGTTTTTGTACAGCAAAAGAAACCATCAACAAAACAAAAAAAAAACAACCAACTGATTAAAAGAAGATGTTCACTAACGATACATCTGATAAGGGGTTAATATACAAAATATATAAAGAACTCAGAGGATTCTGGGAAACATGGTGGAGTAAGAGACATCCTCAGATCTCTCCCCTTGAAACAACAATAAGCTGAACATCTAAAACTGAACAAAAACACCCAAACTGCACACCAGCACATCTGAGCATGGGATCTGCGCATAAGAACTACCACGGGTCAAAACCCTGGGTGTCAGGTGGTGGACTGGGAGAAATAATGAAGCTGCCTCTCACAGCTGCTGGAGCTCCTTACAAGAGGAGGGGGTAAAGGTGCAGTGACTTCCCTGAACAATCCTGCCTGCAAGTGCCGGGACTTCTACGCAGAAAGCAGAGAAGTGGGAAAGGACCACAGAAACAGTTGATTTTTACCAGCCCCGGTTGCAAAACCGAGGCTGAGTTGCAGCCCCCAACCCCAACCCAGAGGGCCCCTCCCCCATACACTCCAAGACCTAACAGTGTGGAGCCCCAGGGGAATCTGAGCAAATGCTACCGAGACTGAAGCTACCTCTCATAGCCTCTGGAGCTCCCTGCAGGAGGAGGGGGAGGGGAGAAGGTGCAGCCACTTCCCTGAACAGCCCTGCCTGGAAATGCTAGGACTTCTATGCAGCCAGCAGCAGGGCTCAGTCATCAGGGCAGAAAGCAGAGAAGTGGAACAGGACCACAGAGAAATAACAGTTGATTTTTACTGGCTGCGGTTGCAAAACAGAGGCTGACCCACAGCCCCCAACCCCAAACCCAGAAGTCTCCTCCCCCATACCCTCTGAGACCGATCACTGCGGAGCCCCAGGGGAATCTGAGCAAACACTACCGAAACTATTGCTAATACTGACAGGGACTGAAACTGAGAGTAGCGAGTCTGATTAAAATCTACAAGAAAATAAAAGACTTTAGGCTTTATATAAAGCAGGAATCCAAGAGGCTTAGACGCCACCTACTAGAAACCAAAAGAAAAGCGCCTTCTTTGTAGCAGGCTAAAGAGAGAACTTTACATAATAAATCTTTCTGGAAAAACAGCAAAATACACTTCCATTAATGCCCAGGAGGAGAAATAGTCCATTAAACATCATGAACAAACAAGGGGACAAAGCATCTCAGAAAGGAAGAGAAAAATCTTCGGAAAATAAGCTTATAGACATAGAAATATGCAACTTAAATGACAGCGAATTCAGGATAGTACTTCTGAAAAAACTCAATGAGTTCCGAAACAAGTCATATCAACAATTTCAAGAATTAAAAGAAAAAAAAATAGATGAGCAAGCAGATTGAAACCTTCGAAAAGAATAGAATAGATCTTCTGGAGTTAAAACACACACACACACACTGCAAGAGTTGAAAAATGAAATAGCAAGCTTGGGAAATAGAGTTGACCAAATGGAGGAAAGGATCAGTGATATCGAAGGCAGAAATCTAGAAATGCATCGGAAGGAAGAAGAGAGAAACCAAAGAATGAAAAATAATGAAAGAGAAATACAAGAACTAGCTGATAGTATCAGGAGAGGAAACATAAGAATAATGGGCATTATCGAAGGCGAGGAAAAGGAGCAGGGACTAGAAAGCATTTTCAGACAAATAGTGGATGAGAATTTCCCAAATCTAAGGAATGAGCTGGAAGTCAACAGAACACCCAATTATCTCAACCCAAAAAGGCCTTCACCAAGACACATTGTATTAAAGTTATCAAAAATCACCAACAAAGAAATCTCAGGGCAGCCAGAGAGAAGAAAATAGTAACTTATAAAGGAAAACCCATGAGATTATCATTGGACTTCTTAGCACAGACCTTACAAGCCAGAAAGGAATGGAATCAAATATTTAAACTATTAAGTGAAAGGAACTACCGTACTAGAATAATGTATCCAGCTAAGCTCTCCTTTAAATATGAAGTAGAAATTAAGTCCTTTCCAGACATACAAAAATTGAGAGAATTCTCCACTATGAGGCCTGCACTACAGGAAATACTTAAGGGATCAGCTCACCTAAAAGAAAATAACAACAAATAAAACATAATTAGGAGTAAAGTGACTTATCAGGCAAATAGAAGCAGAGGAGTGCAATCCTTACTAAGAATGTGGCATTATAAGCTTAAATAATAAGAAGAGAATTGCTATAACAAGATAGTAATGAACGTTCAGCATACATAGGGACAAATTGAGATAGCAAT